TTGGAGATATATTTCTCAGCATCTCCAACAATCCACCTTATCTTATGTGCTAAATTACTGCTTTTACAACCCCCTGCAATCTGTTGGTTCCTCCTGTCTTGAAAGACAATGCAATACCAAGCACTGCAGTGATCCTTAGTTCAAAGCATATCATGGCATGCAGAAAATGCATCTATAAAACACCAGAAAAAGATCCATCCAAACAGGTATTGCCATCTACAGCTGGCCAACAGACATACAAAGTGCAGACCCTAGATTTTTCACTGTTCTTAGAGCATTGAGCTATAAAGTCAATTCAGCCAACAGTAGGTATTTTATTTCATCAGATGAAATGAGAAGCTGGACTGGTCAGCATGACACAACAGCAGCCACATTTTCTTTGCCAAAGTGCTCTTTTTCCTCATGTGACCTGCCATTACTGAGGGTAGCTATTTTTTCAAGTTCCATAAATAGCCAAATTGAAAATATGAAGATATTTTAAAAGTCAATTTCCTAGAACTCAATGCAAGTTATTTTCAAATTGGTAACAAGATTCCGAAGCAAGTTTAAAAACTGAAAAACAGAAAATAACACTGCCCCTAGGATGCAACTAAAAAAAAAAAAAATACCACCATAAATCTATGCTAAACCACAATAAATCCTTTGTTGCGAAGTATCTTCTAAAAGTACCTTCTCCATTTTTTCAAATTCACAGAATTTATATCAAATAAAAAAGCCCATATAAACTCTAAAACAGCTCACAAAATAAAAATAAGTATGCAAAATAGTTACCACATCAAAAATAATGTTTAACTGAAACTTCCAGTTCTACTTTTGTATGTTCATTCACTACTGCTTACCAACATCTTTAACAAGTATTCAATTACATCTCTAAAAAATCTCATTTATACCTGATCAACCTTTCTACTACATACCTGCATACATGATGAAAATTCATCCAATTTCCTGACTGTACTCTTACTTTACAAGCTAGTACTAGTTACTACTACTGGAGATTCTCAGAGGCTGTTCACAATCTTTCAATTCTCATATTCAGTTTTAATCTTCCAGTTTCTCCACCAACTTATGACTAGCCAAAACATAAATCCTATACAGAAAACATTTCCTCCACTTTTTTTTTCCCCCCTCTGTCCAGCTGTAAAGGGGATCTTTTAATAAAAATTTATCTTCAAAAAGAAAATGATGATACTGTCAGATATTAAAGAATACCTCAAATCTCTATGTCAATTTTATGTGTTTATCACATTTTCTTCCTTTCTCTTTTGCTTCACTGTTGGATGAAATGCAAACAGGTGAAAACAACTTGCATCAGACTAAAGAATGAAAGCAACTCTACAAGAAATGCTGTCAAGGACAGGGAGACAGTTGTTAGTTCTCTTATCCTTCATTCACAAAATCTGCTTTTGAGTAATGGTAAACAATGTTTCAGATTAAGTTGTTTTTAAATTCACTTACAGCAGCCTTTATGAATGCTGTAAAATGCGTTGATTTTTTAAAAGTTTTCACTTTACAGATAATTTAAGAATTACACAAGACTGTACACAAAATCTTACTGCAAGCACATATAGCATAATAAAGCACTGTCTAGGAAGATGTAAAACTAATTTTGCAGCACTAAGTATAAATATATAAAAGAATTCACTGCAATATAAATATGTACTTATCCATTCTTAAGTTTCACAAACATAAAAGAAATCCCTCTTCTGCAGTTCTAGAGATGAAACACTAAACCAAAAAACTGTGTCTGAAATTGACAGGATTTAATAACTGACTGAATAAATCAAGGTAACTGCTCCAAATCCAGGAACTATGAGAATCATGCACTAAAATGAGTCCATATCATGATTCAAGCTAAGACAAAAAAGATACTTAACATCCAAAAAAACTGACCTGCATTTATGTAGACTGAAATATTCAAAGAGGTGACATACAAACATCTATGGCATATCCAACAGGCTGAAGAGAGACGAGTCCAAGAAATGGGGGTGGTGGGATTTTGGGGGGGTTTGTTGGTGTGTTGCTTTTGTTAAATACAAAAACTGTAACAGTATTATCTGTATCCTCTATTTATTAAAGTTTGCAAATAATTTTCCATACAGCATTCTGTCAAGCAGTTCATTTTTAAGATCTCTTATTTCCAGTCATAGTGAAGATTTTTTTGTTTGTTTGTTTGGTTTTTTTGTTTGTTTGTTTTTACAATCATTCATACTGGGGAAACAAAGATTACAGTTTTCAAACTAGATGCACTCCACAGTCTGCATTTAAAAGGCCGTGCCCTGATAACAGGTATAGAAAGAGCTGCAAATGGTGCTCTAAAAACTGAACAGGGCTAAAGACTTAAAGATACTGGCACATCTTTAAATGCAATTATATACAGGTTTAAGGAAAGCTGGGAGTTAATCTAAACGAGGTATTACATGGGTCAGATGTTTTTTCAAAGGCACACCAAATGGAATTTTACAGCTTCTTCACTGGCCCAATTATGTCATCACTTACTTCTTTCTCCTACCTTTTCCCTTGCCAGATTTAGAATCACTTGAAATGTATTGATACAAATCTTCAGTGATATAAGCATGTGTGCACATGAAAGAGAGAAATGGGGACTTTCTACATATATATTTACAGCATACCTGCTTCTTAAATGTTTACCCTTGACCTTGTGTAGAAGAAGGAATAATCCAACATACATGCAAAAACCTCTCAAGAGAGTGCTAGCTGGAGACATCCGATGGCCAGAGAAGTGAGGAGCGGAGTAGAGTAATAGCCTATCTTGCACTACATGTGATGAAGTCTAAGCTCCAGACCAAATTCCAGTCAAGATGACAAATGGTGCCTTGCCCTGAGATCCTCTGAAAGTGGAAATGAGCATTCTCACTAAATTCTTAATGTTACAGACAGATATACAGGGAGAAGTGCTGCTTTAAATTATCTAATTATACACAAAAGTGACCTGACCACTACTGTCATGCAAAAAACCAATTATTTTTGGTATCCATTTAATAGAGTCATATCCTGCTCTGCATAAATAATCTAAATGATTTTCCAACTGCAGCTAAACAAAAGTGTAGTCTACCTGGAGATGGCAGATTGAACAAAGACGCAACGTGCACAGGAGAAGAAAGGATATGATCTTTGGCTAGCCAAATAAGAGAGGAAGAAGGTATTTCTGGCTATTGTTACCCTGAGGGATTTAAACATTCTGGAAAGACTACTGATCATGACAAACAGCTAACATATGCTCTTAAAATCAGGGTACAGTCACATGCTAGATGTTATTTTCCAAAACACTGAGGATCACTGAATTTATAATTGTCTTACTCAGGTAGGATCCCCTGAAAGCTTAAGGGGCTTTTTTGGTTGGGTAAAGAACCAAAACCACCACACCACCAAACACAAACGGAGCCCATGAAGAGAAAGATTAGTATATTGGTATTCTGGTTTAGCAAGATTGAAGGAAAACCAAAGAACATTTGAGAAAATTGACTGCTAGTAGCATAAATGGTGACACTGTAGGCTTTAACACCTCAGTCTGTCTTCTACCACCTTCATATACTTATTGACTAAAAAACATAATCAGAATGAAACGATGTTGGAACTTGTCTTCCAGCACTCCTGGAAGACAAGCTGCTACTCATTATAGCTCTCTGGCATCTTAGAAAGACATGATGAAAGCCACTAAGGCAGTCAACACCTCACGATCAACATAATCAAAAACTGCTGATAGAGTCAGTATTTTCAATATTAAGAATCTAGCCTCTCCCAGCAACTCTTATTTTTAATTAAAGTATGGCACTGATACTACTCCTGATTTAAGTTATGGCACCAAAAAGATATTTAAGAAGTACTTCACCTCCCACTGACATGACATTTTTCCCACCCCGTAAGTGTTTAGCACTCAATTTTGTCTCTTCACTTGAGTCTTTTTCTTTTCTAGTGTCCTTTTCTGTCCGCTGCCACATTTTCAAGGCAGGTTATTTATCTTAAAGTTATTTCTCCCATTAATGTAGCTTCTTAGACAAGTTCATCTTTGGGAGAACCACCAGTCTTCCTGTCCATTTGTAAATGCACATCACAAAAGGTCTTCAATACAGTGAGGAATTTCCACCCATAATTAGTATCAAATAATTGCACTTTAAAACTGATGTTCAGATCACTTCAGCCTGCCCATGCAAGGGCCTTCCACAACTGACACAGCTTCTCTGCACACACTGTCAAACAAATTAGAATATTCACACGCACACGCTATTAGTCCGTGGTAATTTATTTGAAAAGGTAAAGGTGGGAGAATGTGTGCAGTTTCTTACTCTGACTGCACAGAATCAGTGCACCGGACTCAAAGGCTCATCACTCCTCCGCAGGCCTGAGCGGCTCTCACAGTGGATTAATGCTTTGAAGCAAAACCACCAAGACCAAAAGTGCCCCAAGTTCAGTTTAAAGAGCCACAATGGTGTTGCTGAACCTCCCTTTTCCCACCATACTTATTTGCTTAAAGCGTCTCTTGGCTGTCAAAGAGAAGGCTTCTACATACACCACAGACTCACAACTGGTTCAACCTGAGTAAAGTCAATACTTAAAAAAGAGAAGCTGAGGCAGGGTGAAGTCTAGGCTTGTGGAAAAAAAAAAATCTACCTAAGAATAAATATTAATTATTTCAGTATAATAAATAATCTAAACTACAATCACCACTACCATACCCACATTCCACAGTATTCTTTTGTCTTCCTCTATACAATGGGAATATACACACTGTCACAGATTGTTAAACACAATTTACCCACGCAGCAGTTTCAGAGCATAATCAATACAACCCACCCCCTCAAGAAAAAGAAACAAGTATTTTAATATAATATCTACATGCACTGGGACCTAAGAAACGGTATTTCTAATTAGACAAAAACATTACACCACTTCATTTCACAGAATGGCTGTAAGACAACTTGAAGGTTAGTGCAAATCAAACTATCAGACAGTATCTTTCGATGAAGTACAGGCAGTCTTACCTCTCATCCTCACCATCTACAAGAGGCGTTGTCAACGGCAGCACCTTCAGCGGAAAGAGGGAAGCAGAGGATGGCATGTTGCTGCTACCGCCATCTGAAACAGCTGATGCTCCAACACCACTCTCGCCACTGGCAGCTTGAGGTAAACCCACTAAGGAAGGTTCTGTAGGGCGTCTGCCATCTTCAGTTTGGCTTACAATTGACTGAGCTAGTGATTGTGCGGGGAACTGGGTAGAGCTTAGCGGTATCTGCTGTGGCACACTCTGCGCCACTGGCATACCTATACTTGTTGATATCAAGGGAGGCTGACTAACACTTTGAGCCAGGTTCCCGTTCTGCACAGCCGAAGCTTGTGCTATATTCTGTGGCTGTCCCAAACCTATAGAAGCAGAAGGTATGCCAGGAGGCACAGCTGAACCAGCTTGACCTGGTGGAGGAACAGCACTAGCAGAAGGTATAGGGCTAACTGCAGGCAGCTGCTGGCCAGTCATCCCTTGGACTACAGATTCCACTCCTTGTGCCTGTGGCTGTACAGGTAACAAGGTGTTTTGCTGAGCAATGACCATTTGCTGAGGAAGGCCTGAAGCGCTAGCCTGTAATCCCTGCTGCATTATTCCTGTCTGCACAGGCTGCACTACTTGTGAAGATGGAGGAGCAGCCGTTGACGGCATAACTGGAGGTGGAATTTGGTTTGCAGCAGATGGTGGTTGCACCACAGTGGCTACGCTTCCCTGCTGCCCAACATTCAGCATTTGACCACTGGTACCTACACCTGGTATCGCTGCTGAAGCATGTGCAACAGGCGGAGCTGGGGCAGCAGCTGGGTGTGCTTGTACTGAAGGCTGCATGCCCTGTGCCTGGGCAACAGGAACTGGTTGCCCTGCTCCTACTCCTGTAGAACTAGGCTGCATGGCAGGGGCTGGAGTCTGAAGGATCTGCTGATGTTGAATGTAGTCTGGCATAGCCCCCGTAACCGAGTTTTGGTTCACCGGCTTAACGTGACCTGTGGCCATCTGCGTAGGAACTGTCTGTTGCTGCTGTTGTTGCTGTTGTCCATACTGCAACTGCTGCTGCTGTACAACTGGTAAAGTCTGCACAGGCTGCGCGGGCTGAGAATACGGCAGCTGCTGTTGAGCCATACTTTGAATGGCAGTTTGCTGGTGGCCCAGAGATGGGGATACACCTAGTATATTAACTGGGGCTGGCTGAACCCCAGTAACAGTGGTTAGACTGGCCTGTGCAGGAGGTTGGACCCCTGGCTTCTGCTGTGGATAGTTTACTTCTTGAGAATGCAGCTGGACTTGTGCAAGCTGTGATTGAGAAACACTCTGTGGTATACTAGATGCTGGAATTGCCGGAGGAGCAGCACTGCTAAAATCCATCTGCTGCGGACCCACACCTTGAAACGCTTGCTGCTGTACCACAGTAGGTGCTCCCATTTCTCCACTTCCCACACTTTCTGTATAGTGACTCAGTGTGCTTACATTGCTGCTAACAGAACTCCCACTGGTGCTCTCCCTTTCAGAAGTCACTTCAAGCGGGTTTTGTTTTATCGTCTCTACTGCTTTGTTTACTGCTACTCCTTCTGAAACTGCAACAGTGTTTTCTTTATCATAGAATTCAGTGCATGTCCATCTACCTTTTTTGAAAGGTTCAGAACTAGAATCTAATTTTACAACCCTAAACCTTGACGTGCCAGATGCAGGCTGCTGCTGGCTTGATCCCACTGCCATTCCTGCAGTTGGATTAGTAACATTGTTAATGACACTAGAGGAAGCACTCGTACCATTGCCAGCACCACTCAAGATATTCACATTAACATTGCTGCTAGTTCCAGACAAAGCATTTACATTACCAGTACTCATGATGTTGCTTAGATTTATAGTACCAAGCACGTTGCTTGCCACACTAGAACTACCACCGCCCATATTATTTAAGGTACTAGTTCCAGTAGCAGGACTTACACCTAAATTGCCAGGAGTACTTGTAGTGCGCATATTAGACACAACAGATGCCGGGGAACCAGTGGATGATGCAGCAGAAACTGGTGCAGTTGATATAACATTGTCAGAGCTTCCAGTTGTTGATAGTTTTCTAAATGATGGACTGGGCGGTGGTCCTCCAGAAATTGGGGCACTGCCCACCCCAGGATGCGATGGATGATGGTGTCCGTGATGATGGTGGTGAAGATGGTGGTGGTGATGAACATGATGGGGGTGAACACTTCCGTTGATCACAACACTCTGCTGTGGGTGATGAGGCAGAGGAGCATGCTGCTGAGGAAGATGAGGCTGGTTTGGAGAAACAGCCCCAGGAGTCTCTGCCTCTTGGAAGTTATTTAAAGTCTCTTCAGAGGAGCTCCTCTCAGGTTCTCCCAAGTCAGTGGCCCTGGATAAAGAAACATCCAAGATTTCTGAAGACGACAGGTCTTCAGTGTGGGACTCATCCAGGTCATCGTAGCTTTCTGTATCCTCAGCTATGCTGTTGTTAGAGCTCATACTAGCTGATATCTGAGCAGGGGTCACACTGGTAATTTGGAAGCCACTTTTCTTTTTCATTTGAGCTCCAGTCTGTGCAAGAGGCTGTGGCTGGAGCTGAGACTGCGAGAGGAGGTTCAGGCTTTGTGGAGGAGGGGGTGTCGGCTGTGGACCCGCTGATGAAGATGCTGCAGGAGATGGAGGCGGCGGCTGGACCAGCAAAGGCGGCTGATAATCCTCGGCGGAGAGGGCAGCGCTCCCAACGCCGGTACCTGGTGCAGTGGGAGCAGTAACGCAGCTGCTGCCGCTGCTACTGCTGCTGCCCCTTCTAGGAAACATTGCCGGGTGCGCCATCTTCCTAGCACTAATGTCTGCGGCTGAGTCAGGCTGGTGCATTGTATCGGGTGTATTTTAAGAGTGCAATCCCCCGGTATGGAGAGAGACAGACACACACACACACAGTTAGCTTTGCGCTCACGGCAGGGCAGAGACACCACGCACAACCCCCCCGGCTCCCGCAGAGCACGGGCTGAGCGCCTCGGCACCGCCGCTAACCACCCCCCTCCCCTCCCCTCCTCCTCCCC